TAGGCAAATTTATTCCTACGTATTTTATTCTTTTTGTTGCAATGGTGAATGGGATTGTTTCCTTAATTTCTGTTTTTTCATTGTTAGTGTATAGGGATGCAAGGGATTTCAGTGTGTTGAGGTATGTTCCCTCTATGCCTGCTTTCTGGAGAGGTGGTTTTTTTTTTTTTAATCATAAATGGGTGTTGACAAAAATGAATTCTGTCAAAAGTTTTCTCCGCATCTATTGAGATAATTACATGGTTTTTATCTTTCAACTTGTTAATATGGTGTATCACATTGACTGACTTGTGAATACTGAAGAATTCTTGCATCCCTGGGATAAAGCCCACTTGGTCATGATGTATGATCTTTTTAATATATTGTTGGATTCAGTTTGCTAGAATTTTGTTGAGGATTTTTGCATCCATGTTCATCAGTGATATTGGCCTGTAGTTTTCTTTTTTTGTGGCATCTTTGTCTGGTTTTGGTATTAGGGTGATGCTGGTCTCATAGAATGAGTTTGGGAGTTTACCTTCCTCTGCAATTTTCTGGAAGAGTTTGAGTAGGAAAGGTGTTAGCTCTTTTCTAACTTTTGGTAGAATTCACCTGTGAAGCCATCTGGTCCTGGGCTTTTTGGTTTGTTGGAAGATTTTTGATTACAGTTTCAATTTTCATGATTGTGATGGGTCTGTTCAGATTTTCTCTTTCTTCCTGGTTAAGTTTTGGAGGGCTATACTTTTCAAAGAATTTGTCCACTTCTTCCAAGTTGTCCATTTTATTGGCATATAGTTGCTAATAGTAGTCTCTTATGACGTTTTGTATTTCTGTGCTGTCTGTTGTGATTTCTCCATTTTCATTTCTGATTTTGCTGATTGATTCTTCTCCCTTTTTCCCTTAATGAGTCCAGCTAATGGTTTGTCTATTTTATTTATCTTCTCAAAGAACCAGCTTTTAGTTTCATTTATTTTTGCTACAGTCTCCTTCATTTCTTTTTATTTCTGCTCTGATTTTTTATTTCTTTCCTTCTACTAATTTTGGGGTTCTACTGCTCTTTTTCTAGTTGCTTTAGGTATAAAGTTAGGTTGTTTATTTGATGTTTCTCTTGTTTATAAGATAGGCTTGTATTGCTATGAATCTCCCTCTAAGCACTGCTTTTACTGAATACAGGAGGTTTTGGGTTTTATGTTTTCATTTTCACTTGTTTCTATGCATATTTTTATTTCCTTTTTGATTTCTTCCATGGTGATCTGTTGATTATTAAGAAGCATGTTGTTTAGCCTCCATATGTTTGTGTTTTTAATAGTATTTTTTTTTTTTTTTTGCTGTTGCTGACATGTAATCTTACTGCATTGTGATCAGAAAAGATGCTTGAGATTAATTCAATTTTATAAAATTTACCAAGGCTAGATATATAACCCAGGATGTGATCTATCTGTTCCATATGCACTTGAGAAAAGGTTGAAATCCATAGTTTCTGGGTGAAATGCAGATGTCAATTAGGTCTAATTGGCCCACTGTATCATTTAAAGCTTGTGTTTCCTTGCTAATTTTCTGTTTGGTTGATCTACCCATAGGTGTGAATGGGGCACTAAAGGCCCCACTATTACTGTTACTGTTAATTTCCCCTCTCATACTTGTTAGCATTTGCCTTATGTATTGAGCTGCTCCTATGCTGGGCACATGTATAACTGTTATGTCTTCTTCTTGGATTGAGCCATTGATCACTATGTACTGTCCTTCTTTGTCTCTTATTATGGTCTTTATTTCAAAGTCTATTTTCTGATATGAGTATGGCTACTCCTGCTTTCTTTTGGTCTCCATTTGCCTGAAATATCTTTTTCCAGTCCCTCACTTTCAGTCTGTATGTGTCCCTTGTTTTCAGGTGGGTCTCTTGTAGACAGCATATACATGGGTCTTGTTTTTATATCCATTCAGCCAGTCTCAGTCTTTTGGTTGGGGCATTTAGCCCATTTACATTTAAAGTATTTATAAGTATGATCCCATTGCCATTTACTTCGTTGTTTTGTGTTCGTTTTTTTTCTGTGTTTCCTGTCTAAAGAAGATCCTTTAGCATTTGTTGAAGAGCTGGTTTGGTGGTGCTGAATTGTCTCAGCTTTTGCTTGTCTGTAAATCTTATAAAATTTATTGAGACTGTTTTGTGGCCCAGCACATTATCTTGGAGCATATTTCATGTGCACTTGAAAAGAGTGTGTATTCTGTTGGTTTTGAATGGAATATCCTATATATGTGTGTATGCTCATATATATGTGTGTGTGTGTGTGTATCTGTATGTATATATAAATTACATCAATCCTGACAAGTAATTTTCTGTGCAGATGATATATTCACTGATATAAGTGGAGTATCAAAGTAACCAACTACTGTATTACTGTCAATTTTCCTATTATTTGTTAATACTTGCTTTATACATGTTAGGTGCTCCTTTGTTGGATACATAAATACTTTCGAACGTTATATCCTCTTCTTGGATTGAGCCCTTTATCCTTATATAACACCTTTTCTTTTTTTGTCTTCTATTAAAGCCTTTGCTTTAAAGTCTATTTTGGCTGATATGAGTACAGCTATTCAGCTTTCTTTTTGTTTCCATTTGCATCAAACATATTTTCCCAGCCTTTCACTTCCACACCATGTATGTCTTTGGGTTTGAAGTGAGTCTTTTGCAGGCAGCACATAGATGGGTCTTGTTTTGGTGTCCAATCAGCCATCCTGTGTCTCTTGGTTGGAGCATTTAATCCATTTACATTTAAAGTGATTACTGATAGGTATGCACTTTTATTGCCATTTTGTTAATTATTTTCTGGTTGGTTTTGTAGTTCTTTTCTGTTTCTTTCTTCTTTTAGTTTCTTCCCTCATGGTTTGATGATTTTTAGCTTTGTGTTTGGGCTTCTTCCCCTTTACTTTTTGCGTATATATTATAGGCTTTTGGTTTGTGGTTATCATGAAGTTTACATATATGGATCTATCAGCAGACTATTTTAAGCTGATAGTCACTGAAGTTCAAATACATTCTGAAACTATGTTTTTATTCCTCCCTACTCTCAAACCATATTTTATGTTTTTGATGTCATATTTATATCTTTCTATTCTACACACAAATAACACTCACTGTATACAGTTACATTTGATTTTACAATCACTTTACAAAAATTATTTTTTGTCATTTAACTTTCACTTTTTAAATGACAATCCTTTGCCACTTAGAAGGTGACTGAGGACAAGATAGATGGATGGCATCACTGACTCAATGGGCATGAGCCTGAGCAAGCTCCAGGAGATGGTGATGGACAGGGAAACCTGGTGTGCTTCAGTCCATGGGATCACAAAGAGATGGACATGACTGAAAGACTGAACTGACTGTACTTTTCACTTCAGTTATTGTATTCTTCAGTTCTGATGGATTCTTTTCTTCTATTCTCCAATTCCTTGTTGAAGTTTTCACTGTTTTCATCCATTCTTCTCCAGACTAGTAAGCATCTTTATGATTATCACCTTAAACACTTTATCAGTCAAATTGCTTATCTGAGCTTTCATTTAGCTCTTTATCTGAGAGTTTCTCCTGTTTTTTCATTTGAAACATATTCCTCTGTCTCCTCATATTGCCTAATTTTCTGTGTTTATTTCTAGCTATTAGGTAGGTCCATGACATCTAATCTTAGATAAGTGGCCTTATGTGGGAGATGTCTTGCGGGGCCCAGCATCAAGGTTCTCTGTGACCGGCAGACCCAGATGCACCAGAAGTATCTCCTATGTGTGGCCTTCTATTGTGGTGAGGCTGATTTCCTGCAGGCACTCAGGCAGGACAGGCTTCCCATCACGGCTGGCTGTGCAACCTGTCAGGCCACGACCGTTACAAGTCTCATGACTGCTGGTGGGCTGTGCCAGCCCCGGGTGCTAACATGTGAGAGAGGCAATTCCTGAGCTTGTCCACCAGCTCAGGATCACAAAAATGGCTGCCACCAGCACCTCAGTTCTGGGGGGAATCCCAGCTGCCTACCGTCTCCTAGCAAGGCTCTTCACAAAAAGTCACTGCGTCTGACCCAGACAGCTGCCAAGCACTGCCTCTGTGCTGGGACTTGAAGCAAGGATGCTTCTGGACACACCCTTTAAGAGCAAAGTCTTGGTATACCACAGTCTTCTGGTTCTCCCATACATAAGCCCCACCGGTATTCAAGGTCAGATACTTTGGGCACTTGAACTCAACTATTCTTGCCTGGAAAATTTTATGGACAGAGAAGCTTGGTGGGCTACAGTCCATGGGGTCACAGAGAGTCGGACATGACCAAATGATGCATGTGCGTGCACACACACACACACACACACACACACACACACACTTGGTTTAGGACCTCCAGGATGGGGAGCCAGATGTGGGGCTTGACCCCTCAGGGAGGATCTCCACTGCTGTGATTTTCCTTCTACTTAAGGACCCCAAGTGTGGGTTCTGACCAGACCACATCTCTGCCCCTCCTACTCATCTCGTTGTGGTTTCCTCTTTACAGTTGTAGAATATGTTCTCTATCAGTTTTGGGGGCATTCTCAGAGACAGCTGCTCTGAAAACAGTTGTATTATAATTTTGATGTGCCAGGGAAGGTTGTAAGATCAGGGTGTTCATACGCTGCCATCTTCATTCCTTCTTCTACAATATCCTATCTTATCACCAATGTAGACTGTAACCATATCTTTACCAAAGAAAATAGTATATGTATAAATGTTCTGTAAACATTAAAACCAGCTGAGTCAAAGGTACTGTCAATATCAGGATTCATAAAGTTAATTCTTAAGAAGTTAAAAAATGAAAACTTTCTGTGGAATTAAAAGTGAACTATGAAGGACAATATAGACTTCAATGAGAATATTAATATTGATTGTACATTCTTATCACAATATCATACTTGCTAATACAATTCAGCTAAATTAAACATTTTGCCAACATTGCCTCCCAGAAATAACAATTTAACCACTAAAACATAAATGAAAAATAGAAATAAATACTTACTCACAATACCAAACTGTCCCCAGAACAGAAGTATAGCCAAAACTGGGAAAATAACAATGAGGATATTTTCATTTGGAGAAAACCATGAAACTGGGAAGAAAGAAAACAAAAATCACAATTAACACTCACTATAATCACTTTAACTCCTAACTGTGACTAGTCAACAATATATATTATTGTGGAGATGGAAAATAAAAATAATTGAATTAAAACTTAAGCTTTAAAATAAGTAAAAAAAACTACACATATCACTTATTCATACAACAAATTTTACTTAAGAAACAAAAAAGTATTTATGTAAGTGCTTTTCACCCCACTTTCCCTAACCCATGACTTCTAGAAGGAGGCAGTATGGCACAGAAATTAAGAACAAGGTTCTAGTTCTAGAACAAGCCACAGTGTCTGGCTTTGAAAAGCAACTGTAATTGACAATCTCTGTGACCTTGAGCAGTCTTAACCCTTCTTGTTCTTCTGTGTCCTCATTGTTACACTGGAGTGTTATACTGTCATACTAGACTATTGTGACTGTTACACTGTTGGGACTGTTACACTGCTGCATTGTTATACTAGACAATTGTGACTATTGTTACACTGTTGGGCTGCTGGGCTGTTACTGGTGGATGCTACACTGGACTGTTGTAACTGTTAACAAAGTTAATACATAAAAAACCTTGGCACTTACCAAGTGCTCAGTAAACATTAACTACAATTATAATTATGTCCTCCTACAGATAGCATATTAAAAAGCAGAGACATTACTTTGCCAACAAAGGTCCATCTGGTCAAAGCTATGGTTTTTCCAGTGGCCACGTATGGATGTGAGAGTTGGACTGTGAAGAAGGCTGATCGCCGAAAAATTGATGCTTTTGAACTGTGGTGTTGCAGAGACTCTTGAAACTGCAAGGAGATCCAACCAGTCCATCCTAAAGGAGATCAGTCCTGGGTGTTCACTGGAAGGTCTGATGCTGAAGCTGAAACTCCAATACTTTGGCCACCTCATGCAAAGGGTTGACTCATTGGAGAAGACCCTGATGCTGGGAGGGATTGGGGGCAGGAGGAGAAGGGGCCAACAGAGGATGAGATGGCTGGATGGCATCACCAACTCGATGGGTATGAGTTTGAGTAAACTCTGGGAGTTGGCGATGGACAGGGAGGCCTGGCGTGCTGCGATTCATGGGGTCACAAGGAGTCAGACACGACTGAGCGACTGAACTGAACTGAATAGTGAATACCTGATATGTGTAAATGCCAAGAATTTATCTTAAGCCAACAGTGAGGCCTTTCTGTAAAGCCTGACTCAGGATATCAAAATGAGGAAGTAGTACTACTGGGTACCGTCACCTTACTCTGACTAAAAACAAGAGAGATGTGAGCCCTAGCTTTTCTCAAACTTACCCTAGATTAGAAGATGCATTTATGGATAATTAGGCCTCAAATGATTGTTTATGTGTAAAGTAACATGAGGGGCTTTAGGTATTAAGTGAAGTGAAGTGAAAGTCACTCAGTCGTGTCTGACTCTTTGCGACCCTATGGACTTTACAGTCCATGGAATTCTCCAGGCCAGAATACTGGCATGGGTAGCCTTTCCCTTCTCCAGGAGATTTTCCCAACCCACGGATCAAACCCAGGTCTCCCACATTGCGGGCAGATTCTTTACCAGCTGAGCCACAAGGGAAGCCCAAGAATACTGGAGTGGGCAGCCTATCCCTTCTCCAGTGGATCTTCCTGACCCAGGAATTGAACATGGGTCTCCTGCATTGCAGGCGGATTCTTTACCAACTGAGCTATTAAGGAAGCTTCTATTAAGTGTGCAAAGAGCCGACTCATTAAAAAAGACCTTGATGCTGGGGAAGATTAAGGCAAAAGAAGAGGACGGCAGAGGATGAGATGGTTAGACAGCATTACCAACTCAATGGACATGAACTTGAGCAAACTCTGGGAGATAGTGGAAGACAGGGAAGCCTGGCATGCTGCAGTCCATGGGGTCACAAAGAGTCGGATATGACTTAGTGACTGAACAACAACAATTAAGTGTGTTACAAGTTACCTAGAGAATGATAATATAAAATGATACATTCCATATAAAGGAAATTGTGATGTTAAGTCTTCAAAGAAGGTTTGTTGACAGCTTTAAAAAAATTAAGTTTAGTTGCATCTTATTAACTCTTAAGACCATAATTTTACCTGTGAAATTTCTTCTCTAACAATAAAGCAAAGCAAATGAACTGAAAACATTTCAGAGTTTGTCTGTATAGAGGGAAACGCTAATTTTGTCCAAAGCAAGCACTCATGTTCTTCTAAAATTAACTCTTTCAAATCTTCCACTGTTCTGCCTCTTTATCAGCATGTAAGGGAGCTATTGGGCTTTCATACAGTAATGCGAGCTATGCATTTCCCATGTTAGCTTACAATGTTAAGCTCTGGTAGATGTGAACAATAATCCACAGAATATAATGTTATAAATTCTATCCCACAGATATCAGCTTTCCATAGTCTAACATTTTGCCCTACACATGCAGAGACTCAATTGGTTTCTTGCTGAAGGTCCCAACAGTCAAAAAACAGTGAGTGAATGAAAGACAGCTTTTTTGGGTGAGGGGTGGATGCTTTCATGGTTGCAGACCTCTACCAAAAGACAGATGTCCTCTGAATTAATACCTTAATTTCCAACAATTACTGACCATCTTCCTTTACCAAAGAAAATCCATTTCAATTCAATCTAAAATCGTACCAAGAGAAACCTTTATGAATTATCCCTAGGTTTTCACATCTAAATGCCCAAAGGATTTGGTAAAAGCTCTGTGATTTAAGGATTATTCTTAATTGACTTATTTTTCTCTACTTGCTTTACTATTTTGAGTTGTGTATATCATTAGCTCCCCAAATCCTCATAATTATTACAGGAGGATTAATTAACCCCTTCTTATCATATGGGATACTGAGGCCTAGATAATTAAGCCATTGACTTCTGATACAAGTCCCCCTACTCCTTCACCAAACCTACCCTCTCAGTTTCCCCATTTCTCCAGTTGCTCAAGCTAAAAGCCTTGGAATCATCCTTGACTCCATGCTTTCTCTCACACCCTACTTCTGGTCTGACAGTAAATCCTGTGGTTGCTGCTTTCAAGATACAGCCAGTATCTGATCTCATATTCAAGATGGGCTGAGAAGGTCATGTTATTTCACAGGCCTCCCTGCCTACACAGCAGAACAACATTCAACAGTCTTGGCATTTATTAACAGAAATCTCCCAGTGAAAATAGGAAGTATGTCTGACCTGGTCTGACCACTCGGTTTTCACTTATCACACAAACGTTTATTAAAAGCCCGCCATGGCTAGGGTGGGTTTCCCCAGTGGCTCACTGGAAAAGAATCTGCCTGCAATGCAGGAGACAAAGGAGATGCGGCTCAGCTCCTTGACTGGGAAGATCTCTTGGAGAAGGGAATGGCAGCCCACTCCAGTATTCTTGCCAGGAAAATCCCACAGAGAGAGGAGTCTGGCAGCCTACAGTCCATGGCGTCACAAAGACTTGGACACAACTGAGCAACTGAGCGTGCAGGCGTGGGTAGGATTTCTTCCAGGCCTGAGACTCAGCAGTGAACAAGCTAGGTGGAGCCACAGACCTGAGGAAGGGGAGGGGCTGAGGGGCAAGACTCTTGTGGGTAGTAAGGAAAGCCTCTGGGGAGAGGAACTGGCCCCAAACCTTGGACTGGAAAGAGCCTGCCACTTCCAGACAAGGGAGAAGATACACCAAAGGAACAGCAAGTTTGAGCAACTCGATGATGGCCAGTGTGACTAAAATTTAATGGTGAGATGGAAAGAGTGCTGAGATTAACATCATGCTGGGTCTCATCAGCTTGTTAAGAAAGCCTGGATTTTATTCTACAAGCAATGAAAAGTTATTGGAAAGCCTCAAACAGGGCAGAAAAATGATTTACTTAAAATCTTCCTTGGAAGCCATGAGGAGAATGGATGATAGAGAAGCAGGACCTATCAGAAACTCAATGCAACAATCAGGTAGGAGTACAAAGGTAGGATGTGTTTGCCAAATGCAGTCCAGTCCTGTGTTCACTTTACTCATCAAATTTAAAGACATAATAGGGAACTGTTACAAAGGAAAGTGACTAGAATGGGGATGCTGAAACTATGAGCAACGGCTGAAAGAACTGGGGATTTTTACCTTAGAGAAGAATAAACTCGGATGAGAAATACCACAGCCCTCCTAGTGAGTGAGAAATTGTAGGGTTGCAAGCTCTAGTTTGACTTCAGGAAGAATTAGAACTGCCTAATAATTGACTAAAATTCTTTGGGAAGTAACAGCCTCCTCATGTCAAACATTTATGTAAAAAAGTCTGCAATGACCAACTACTTAGGGTGTGGTAGAAGGAAATCATGAATTAGATGGGGAGACAGACTAGATGACTAACAGCTGACTCTATACCTCTATGCAGAAATAATAAGTATAAGAGCTATTTCAAAGATGGGAGGGGGGGTAGGATTATGAACAAATAACATTACTGACTAAGTGATTCTTAACTGAAACTTATCAAAACTATCTGGGGTTTATCGAAACATCACGTACTCTCTAGGGCTTCCCTCATAGCTCAGCTGGTAAAGAATCCGCCTGCAATGCAGGAGACCTGGGCTTGATCCCTGGGTTGGGAAGATCCCCTGGAGAAGGGAAAGTCTACCCACTCCAGTATTCTGGCATGGAGAATTCCATGGACTGTATAGTCCATGGTGCCACAAAGAGTCGGACACGACTGAGTGACTTTCACTTCACTTCACTTCACATATGCTCCCCTCTCAGCTTTTACTCCAACAATTGTGTGTGTGTGGCTATGGGGGTAGCGGGGGTCCACAACTTACTCAGTTTAAAATCACTACTGTAATTTACCTTCTCTCATTGACATAAACATGGTATCTCTACCTGGTAAGATGGGAAAACTATGATGATCACTGAATTGGATATTCAAATATAAAATGAGATTCTGGGGTAAAAATGATGTTTTATATAAAATTATGTATAAGACCTAAAAGATGATGCTGTGAAGGTGCTGCACTCAATATGTCAGCAAATTTGGAAAAC